GCCGGTTGAGCTATAGGCGCCGAGCCATGCCCAGCTACTTTTAGAGAAGGGCTCTCGCTCTTGCTCAGGCTGCTCTCAAACTCCTGAGCTCAGGCAATCCACCTTCCTGGGCCTCCGGAAGTGCTGGGATTACAGGCATGAGTCACTGCCCGGGCTAGTAGCTTGCTTTTATCACTTAACAATATCTCATGGAATGCCTCCAAGCCATCTGATATAGCTCTAAACAATCTTTTTATTTTATTTATTTATTTATTTATTTATTTTTGCAGTTTTTGGCTGGGACCAGGTTTGAACCTGCCACCCCTGGGCCAGCGCCCTACTCCTTGAGCCACAGGCGCCACCCTAAAACAGTCTTTTTAATGGCTTCATACTATTCACGGTATGGATATGATCCTTTATTCAGTAATTTCCCTATGTTGGGACATTGACTTTTTTTGTGGGACTGAGGGGACAGGCGAGAGAATAATGGCCTGATCATAGCTCAAAGCAGCCTCGAATTCCTGGGCTCAAGCGATCTTCCCACCTCAGCCTCCTGAGGAGCTGAGACTACAGGCATTCTCCACCAAACCGGGCTAATTTTTCATAGAGATGAGGGTCTCACTATATTGCCCATGCTGAAGAACATTAACTTTGGAGTTTTTTTTTAATTTTCTTTTATTTTGTAGGTTCCACATATAAGATAAATTATGCAGTATTTTTCTTTATGTATCTGGCTTAGTTTACTTAGCATAATGCCATTTAGGGTCATTAATTGATTCCAATTTCCTTCTAACTCTGAATAGTGATGCAATAGACAACCATGAATGTACACATTTCTGTTTACTGGTGTGTATATTTCTATAGAACTGATTCCCAGAAATGAGATCTTAGGGTTGAAAGATCTCATCTCAACTGAGAGAATGATTGAAGTCTCAATCTCACTACTCACCTTCCACTTTTAATTCCATTGCTGCCTCTTCTTGATAAGAATGATCTCGAAAAAAGCAGGTGAAACCCCCTTCATCTGAGAACCTTACATTCCGGATTTTGAGGGACACCTTTCCTTCACCAATAGCCTCTTTCAGCAGTTCCGTCCGACCTCGATATTCAGGTGCCTGCTCTCCATCTTGGTCCTTGCCATTTCGGTAGAGGTGAACCACCCTAGAGAAGGGGGGACGGTACCACCCCACCTCCATGCCTGTAGCATTCTTCCCAGGGGATATACGACATGGCAATTCCACTTCATCTCCAACGAGAGCCCGGATGGGGTGCCTTGGTCCTATCACTCTGAACTGTCCTGTCCAAGACACCAAAGAGAAGAGACTGAGGTTTAGAGGGAACCTTGACAAACAGGCATGTCATAGGAAGGGCTGCTTCAAAACAGGGAGGGAAGAAGATGGTTGATTTTTTTGGGACAGAGTCTCAAACTATTGCCCTGGGTAGAATGCTGTGACATCATAGCTCACAGCAACCTCCAACTTGGGCTCAAGCAATCCTCTTGCCTCAGTTTTTCTATTTTTTTTTTTGTCCTTTTTTTGTAGAGACAGAGTCTCACCTTATTTCCCTCGGTAGAGTGCCATGGCATCACACAGCTCACAGCAACCTCCAACTCCTGGGCCTACATGATTCTCTTGCCTCAGCCTCCCAAGTAGCTAGGACTACAGGCTCCCACCACAACGCCCGGCTATTTTTTTGTTGCAATTTGGCCTGGACTGGATTTGAACCCGCCACCCTCGGTATATGGGGCCAGCGCCCTACTCACTGAGCCACAGGTGCTGCCCAGCTTTTCTATTTTTAGTAGAGACAGGGTCTTGCTTTTTTTGCTCAGGCTGGTCTCAAACTCGTGAGCCCAAGTAATCCACCCACCTTGGCCTCCCAGAGTACTAGGATTATAGGCGTGAGCCACTGCGCCTGGCCAAGACACTTCATTTTTAAGAGAAATTTTAGAGCCAGGGAAAGATTGTAATTCTTCTTCTTGAGCAAAAACAAAAATAAAAGCAAGGCTGGGCAAAGTGGCTCACATCTTTAATCCTAGCACTCTGGGAGGCTGAGATGGGTGGAGCCCCAAGAGTTTGAGGACGCTGTGAAGTAGGATGCCATGGCATTCTGCCCAGAAAACAGAGTGAGACTGTCTCAAAACAAAACAAAACAAACAAACGAAATAAATAAATAAAAACTCAAAAAAGCTAGCAATCGTCTCATCACAACAGCTACTGCCCACCTTTTTTGTTGACTGTATCCATTTCTGACTCTTCAGCCCAGCTTTTAGGTTCCACCTTGGACAGTGGTACAGCATCCTGAAGTTTAATTCTCCCATGGGCCTCCCTGTTTAAACTTTGCCAAATTCATTTCTATTCTCCCCTTAGAGATTTTGCTGTTGTCACTTAAAATGTAAAACTCTCTCTATCACTTCTCCCTCTGTCCTTTTTCCCTCAAATTCTCCTCTGATTGCACTCTTCTTTCTCTCAACTGCACTCTTTCCCTCTATTTCACTCCTCTTCAACCTCACTGCAGCTCCTGGATCTTGCTCCAAATGTATTCTCAGTCTTTTCCTATGTGGACGTTTTTCAAGCCAGATGCTGAGCTATGGGGAGATACGGCTGCTTTCTCCCTTAGACCTGGAAATATTTCCCCAGGAAGTGGGTGGATTGGGCCTCTTCTCTCAGTCAGGTAGCTCTCTGAGATCAGGAATCTGTCTTCTGTTTCTTTTATTTCTCCCCAGCACTTGAGAGCAGAGCTCCTTTATAAAAGCTTACTGGTGCCTGATTATGCAGAGCAAACTCTCAAACATGACAAGATACTGTTAATTTAACAAAATTCTTTTGAGATTTCCTATGGTTAGGCATGGCTAAGCATGTCAGATATCTTGTCTCGTTTAACCCTGATAACAATTTCAAGAGATTATTATTTTTTCCCTGTTTAAGAGATGAAAAGCCAAAGTGGCAAAGATAGATGAGCGCTAGTTCAAGGAAGGCCTCAAGTTAAAGTCACATTAAAGAGTTTGGATTCTGGGCAGCGCCTGTGGCTCGGTGAATAGGGTGTCAGCCCCATATACTGAGGGTGGCGGGTTCAAACCCAGTCTCGGCCAAACTGCAGCAAAAAAATAGCTGGGCACTGTGGCAGGTGCCTGTAGTCCCAGCTGCTTGGGAGGCTGAGGCAAAAGAATCATCGCCTAAGCCCAAGAGCTGAAGGTTGTCGTGAGCCGTAATGTCACAGCACTCTACCGAGGACGACAAAATGTGACTCTGTCTCTAAAAAAAAAAAGAGTTTGGATTTTGTTTGGAAGGCTATAAGAAGCCACTTGAAGGTTTCTGAGGAAGAGAACCATGCCAGGAAATCTGACTTAGAAAGGTAACTCACTGGAGGAGGATTGAAGGAGTAGATCCTCGGGAAAGCAGCTTTCCTGTTCTCAGGGTCTTTCCAGGGCAGGAATAAACACATGTCTTACCTGCATGGCTGGAAGGCAGCTGGAGGAAGAGTAGGAGGAAGAGCGAGAGGAAGCAGCTAGGCAGAGAGGGGCTTGCTAAGAGTGCCATCTCCACTGTTCCTAAGGACAGGGAGCCCCGCAGCAGGGTCAAAGGCCTTTGGGGTGCATGTCCCGTTACTACCGAAAAGCCCGAGAGAGGACTGGGGATGGCAGTGCTGCCCAGGCCCTGCCTCCACCCTGGCTGATGCCACAGCTGTGCCCGTAGGAACAGCCCCACGTCACCCTTGTCAGGCACTTATACAAAAGGGCTATAGACTGAGGGTTTGATCAGGATTTACCATCCCTACCCCCTCAGGGCAATGGAGCAGTGGCTGCCTGGTACTGGGCCTTCCTCCCCCATCCTTTAGGAAACAGCCTTTGAGGAGGATTCTAGGGGCTGATTAGTGTGATCAATCACTCACTGGGTCCTAGGAAGAGGTTTGTTTGTGTAAAGTTTCACTCCCTGAAACTAGCCAAGAGAGAGGGATTAGTTTGGGCTCTCAAAAAAAAAAAAAAAAGAAAGAAAGAAAGAAAAAAAAAGGTTGACTTGGTTTCCTGTTTCTATTGTCTCACAACTGTCATTACCAAACCATTCTTCCTGAGGTCTAACCTACTCTCTTCTACTGCAAATCCAAACTCCCTTCTGTATGTTTAGATATTTGGTGGGTAGCTTGGGCTTAGCTTCTGGCCCCTCAAAAATACATTTAGGGAAGTCATGAGTTGTATATCTGCTCATGCTCAGAGAGGCAGCTCTGGAAGAAGGAATATCTGCAAGGGCAGCAGCTGTCCGTCTGCATAGGCAGCAGGGACATAGCCAACATGCAGAACACATCCCCTGGCCTGGGCATTGCTCTCCAATTTCCTCAGTGCCAAAGGGGAAAGTGAGATCTGGAATGGAAAGAGGACCTTACTTCTTATCCCTGGACTCAGCTGAGAACTGCAAGGATGAGAACAACTTGGCATCAAGTTTCAAAAATATATTTCCCAGTCTTTTTTTAGACAGAGCCTCAAGCTGTTCCCCTGGGTAGAGTGCTGTGCCATCACAGCTCACAGCAACCTCCAACTCCTGGGTTCAAGCGAGTCTCCTGCCTCAGCCTCCCAAGTAGCTGGGACCACAGGTGCCCACCACAACGCCTGGCTATTTTTTGGTGCCATCATTGTTGTTTGGCGGGCCTGGGCTAGATTCGAACCTGCCACCTTAGGTGTATGTGGCTGGAGCCTTAGCCACTTGAGCCACAGGCGCTGAGCCTATTTCCCAGTCTTAAAGCAAGGATGCTTCATCAAATAAGAAAAGAAGTTCAGGCTTGGCGCCTGTGGCTCAAGTGGCTAAGGTGCCAGCCACATACACCTAAGGTGGCGGGTTCGAATCCAGCCTGGGCCCACCAGACAACAATGATGGCTGCAACCAAAAATAGCCAGGCGTTGTGGCAGGTGCCTGTGGTCCCAGCTACTTGGGAGGTGGAGGCAGAAGACTCACTTGAGCCCAGGAGTTGGAAGTTGCTGTGAGCTGTGATCTCACAGCACTCTACCCAGGGGGATAGCCTGAGGCTCTGTCTCCAAAAAAAAAAAAAAAAGAAAAGAAAAGAAAAGAAGTTCAGAATGGACAATTCACAGCCATGCTGTCTAATGTAATCACTTGCCACAAGTGGCCATTTAAATTAAAATAAAGACAAATAAAAAATTCAGTTCCTGGCTTGGCACCCATAGCTCAGTGAGTAGGGTGCTAGCCACATACCGAAGCTGGTAGGTTTGAACTCTGCCTGGGCCTATTAAACAACAATGACAACTGTGACCCAATATAGCCAGGTGTTGTGGTGGGTGCCTGTAGTCCCAGCTACTTTGGAGGCTGAGGCAAGAAAATCACTTAAGCCCAAGAGTTTGAGGTTGCTGTGAGCTGTGATGCCATAGTACTCTACTGAGGGCACCGTAGTAAGACTGTCTCAAAAAAAGAAAAAAATTCAGTTCCTTGACTGCAGTAGCCATATTTTAAATGCTCAATAGCACTATAGGTACTGGTTACTGCAATGGACAGAGCAAACATAGAGCATTTCTTCCCACCATCACAAAAAAATTATATTGGGCAGCAAGGGTAGTAGAAGCACAACTGAGACATACATTTCTGCTTTTGTTTGAGACGAGTATAGGGACTGGAAGGACAGATTCTGGTCAGCTGAATCTGGGACTTACTTATTCTTTCTCCCTGCAAGGCACCTAGAGTTTGGGCACCAGCAGATTTGGCTATTCTGGAGCTATGTTGTTGAGAGTCAAGGTCAGATGGATGAATCCCATGGAAAAAAGGGTTGCTGTAGATTTCTGGATTTCTCAAGTGGGGACTCCCTCCTTTCAGAACCTAAAATATCCTGGGATGCTCTTCCTCCATAATGCACATCCATCTAGGTAGGAGAGTTACACACAAGATGCTTTCTGGGTTTGGGGGTGATGGGGTGCTTGCAATTGTCCAAGCTAACTGTCAAAAGCTGGATAAGAGGTCAGGGTGGAGGGACCAGGAGCAAAGAGTGTTAGGAACTAGCTAATCAAAGCCACTTTGAGAAATGTGCATCTCTAGAAAACAAACAAAAAATAAAACCAGAAGACAAAACCCAGCTACCTTACCAGGAGATTCCATATGCCATTGTTCTAAGTGGTTTACTCATTTAATTCTCACAACAGCAAAACAAATATTAGAATATTAATACCTTATTTTATAGATAAGGAAACAGAGGTACAAAAGAAGTAAGGTCACTTATTCAATGTCATACCATGAGGGAGTAGAGTAGCTGGGATTTCAAGCCAGGCTTCCTAGCCCCAGAATTGGTACTTGTAACCACCACACTATACAGCCTCTGATGAGCTCTCTTTATTCACCTCATGCTTTCAGCCACCTCAAGTCTCCTGAAAGGGCTGGATTCCTGCAGCTGTGGTGAGCAGTCTCTTGGATGGCATGGTCTTTAGGCAAAAGTGACATATACAGGGGAAGGGGAGAGGGCCATCAGCTAAATGATGCAATGTTGCCATGTACAGAAATATGGGGTGTAGGAGCATCAGATTTTGCAGGGCATGGAGTGTGATGAGAATGTGTTCAAGATGTGAATGATGGGCTGGGCATGGTGGCATCTATAATCCTAGCACTCTGGGACGCCAAGGTGGGTGGATTGCCTAGCTCAGGAGTTTGAGACCAACCTGAGTTAGAGTGAGACCTTGTTTCTAAAAAATAGCCACTTGGTCGTGGTGTATGATTTGTTTGATGTGTTGCTGGATTCTGTTGGTTAGGATCTTGTTGAATATTTTCACATCAATATTCATTAGTGATATTGGTCTATAATTTTTTTTTCTTGTTGGGTCTTTTCCTGGTTTGGGGATCAAGGTGATATTTGCTTCACAGAATGTGTT